CTGAACTCTGAAAGTGCTTATGATCTGATCCTCTTCCTTAGTGTGTACTGAGCACAGGAAATGTAAAAGAATCCATAGTCTTGCATGGGAGACAGGAAGATGTAAACTTGTCACCCTGACTTGTGATCATGACAGAAGTCTGCATGGATGACCACTGTGGGAGCATTGAGAAAGGAGCATCAGTTCTGATTTTGAGAGTTAGGATGTCTTCTCAAAGCAGGCAACCCTTGGGCAGTCTTAAAGCTTAGAAGTTTGTCAGGAGTGAGTACACAGGAAGGCCCACAAGGCAGAGGCAACAGTGTATGAAAGTCATAAAGGCACTGTGCATACAGTTCTATAGTATCTACTTTGTAACAAGGTGTGGGTGATGTGCTGGGACTATAGGTGAGCAATGCAAGGCCCTATTCATAAGGAATGTGGCAACTTTGGGGACGGGGAAGTAGCTCTTTATAATTATGGAGTGAAGGTGCTTTGTATGTGAGGATGACAAGGAGACAAGGTAGAGAAGTACACAGGAGGACATATTTTGAAGGCTTGAACGAATGGCAATTATAGACGAGGTAGAGAGGAGGCAGTGGTTTGGATGAATCCAATTCCTATTTAGGAAGTAGAAGTAATAGAACCTTGTGACCAATTTGATGTAGGAATAAGGTAGAAGAGTGAATGATGATCTCTAGATTGCTGGAAAGGTGGTGACACTCTTTAAAACTGGGGTTGGTAAACTTTTTCTGTAATGTGAAATGTTATAAATATTTTCAGCTTTGTGAGCCATGTGGTCTCTGTCTTTACTCAACTTTGTCTTTGTACCTCAAGAGCAGCGATAGGCAGTATGTAAATGAACGGGTGTGGCTGTGTCCTAATAAAACTTTATTTACAAAAACAGGTGGCAGATCAGATTTGAGCTGCAGACAGTAATTTGCTGCCCCCTGCTCTAGGGGGTCATAAATGCAAGAGAAACAGATTTTTGGTGGGGTGGGACTGGGAAAATGGTGAGCTTAGCTTTATGCATACTAAATTTCAGGTGGAATGTGGTACATTCTGGTAGATTTTTCACAAGCAGTTGAGTCTCTGGGTCTGGGGATTGGGAAAAAGTCCAGTTGTGACAGACAGATTGAAAGGTTATCCTTGTAGAAGTGGATATTTTTGTGGGGCTCCCGAGGTGAGGCCACCTGGGGAAAGATTAGAGGGTGAAGAGGACCAAGGCTTAACCAGAAGGAGCCCAACAATTAAGGACTTGTGGGTAGAGAGAAGAAATAACCATAAAGGTATAAGGCCTACCTATGAAAGGGAGAGAGTCATGTCCCAGAAAGTAAGAAAAGAAAGTTTCTAAAGAACGTGGTCATAGATGATCACATAGGTCAGGTAAAATAAGAGCAAAAAGTGTCCATTACATTTGAAAGTAAGGGTGCTATTGACCCAAATCACAGAATTGTGGTAGATTAGTGTTGCAGAAGCCTGAGGGTAGTGGGCCTGGGAGCCAATAGATGATGAGAATTTTAGGCAAGAAATGTAGGTCTTTCTTTATTTTTAATTGAAGGGAAAGAAAAAAGGCAGTAGGTAAAAGGGGATTTAAGGTAAAAAGAGGTTTTTTAAAAATAATTGTTGTTGCTTTAGTGAGAGAGAACTAAGTTCAGGAAAAGGAGATAAGGGAGAAGTCGAAGATAGAGAAAAGAGGTAATAGAACAGCATTCTAGAGGAGGTGGCTGGTGAGTACCTGAGAGCTCAAGGGAGATCACTGAGCATGAAAAGCAGCTGATGTTTTGTTCTCATTTGCTCTTAGGCTGAGCCAGAGATCCTCCTAAAAAGCACAGCTTGTGTTTCTGCCCAGGAACACCCTTCGCCCTCTGACAGCACCTTCTTGGGAAGCATCTTGACAGTAACAGCAGACAAAGGTTAAGGGCCCTGGAATGTAGGGGTGGGAAAACTGTGACCCTGCTGATATCATCAGCTGTTGAAGATTCCCACCAACAGACTTGCCTCTCCCAGGCTTCCATTGTGGCAGACCTTGACTGGATCACCAGAGGGGCCCTCTACCATGGTTTGTTTTTGTTTCAGAGCCAGAATCAGCTCCAGTATCCTTGCTTGGAAGTGACAAGAGTGCTTTCACCCGAGTTGCATCAGTGGCTTCCCTTCAGCCTACAGGTTAGGATGGGCTCCAGGGATCCTGCCTCATTTCTAGATCAGGTAGTGAGGATAAAGTTAACTAAAGCAGTGAAAAGTGCTTTGCTCTAAAAACCTCAATTCTACTTGGGCTCATTTTATTTCTGTCTTTTGGGACCAGCAGTGTTCCGGACGTTCAAATCCTATGGGTAGGGAACATGGATAAGAGTTGTGGAAATAATGGCTACACACTCCTTCCTTCCAGAGCTAAAGGGCTCTACCTCTATCTAGGACTTTCTTTTTCAGAGATCCCAGGCATGGAAAAGAGCCTGGAAGAAATGAGTACTATGACTCTGGAGCTTCAGAGTCTGTGTTCCCTGCTGCAAGAGTCTAAAGAAGAAGCTGTCAGGACTCTGCAGCAAAAGATGTGAGTTGAGTATAGTCTTGGTGAGAGAGGTCTGCCCCTTATATCAAGAGCTCAGCTCCTGAGAAGACAGGAATAATGTTGAATTTTCTTCCCTAGTTGTGATCTGCAGGCTAGGCTGCAGGCCCAGGAAGAACAGCATAAGGAAGCCCAGAAGGCAAAGGAAGCGGACATAGAGAAGCTGAACCAGACCTTGTGCTTGCGCTACAAGGTGAAGGAGGGGCCTAGAAGTGGGGCGATGAAGAACTGGGGCAGCTGTACTGGCCCACTGGGAACGATTGTCTCTCCTTCTCTCCAGGAATCTGGGTGTAGGGATTTTCCAACGACTGCCCCAGTTCTGCCCTTCCGGGGGTCAGATATTTCACATGTTTGGGAATCAGTTATGGGCTGACACATCTCCCAGGCCGACCTAGAAGTCAGGAACTCTAGCAGAGCTCTTTCAACACTGGGACGTGCCTAGCCTGACCTAGCCTTAGAGGAGGAAGAGTGTTACCAGTTGATAGCAACCTGGGCTGAGCATGGGTCAGGTACTAAATCCTATTTCCTGGCAAAGGCTACAAAGAAGCTAGCTCTCTCAGTGACTTCTTACTTCCCTTTCCCTCACAGAATGAAAAGGAACTCCAGGAAGTGATACAGCAGCAGAATGAGAAGATTCTAGAGCAGATTGACAAGAGTGGCGAGCTCATAGTATGTTCCTCATGATGGTCAGCTTCTACCTTCTGTGTCACTGGTAGCCAGAATCTCAAATATGGGAATTGGATCCCCTGGTCTATCTTGTTCACAACATGAGATAAGAATGATGGAAAGGACCTTTGAGGGCTACTGAATACCCCTTTATTCTCACCTCCAGAGTCTTAGAGAGGAGGTGACCCAGCTTACCCGCTCACTTCGGCGCGCGGAGACAGAGACTAAGGTGCTCCAAGAGACTCTGGCAGGCCAGCTGGACCCAAACTGTCAGCCCATGGCCACTAACTGGATCCAGGAGAAAGTGTGGCTCTCCCAGGAGGTGACTCAGAGTTAACACAGGGGCTGGGCAGCTGGTGGGAACCACAGGCTGTGCCCCTACTGATCCGAACGTATCTATAGGTAGACAAACTGAGGGTGATGTTCCTGGAGATGAAAAATGAGAAGGCAAAACTCATGGTCAAGTTCCAGAGCCATGTAAGAATTCCCATGCCATTGAGGGGCCAGTTCTCACTGCCACTACTAGCAAGTTCCCTGCCATATTTTACTTTCCCCACAAGCTATACTGTTCTTTTAAGCATAGGACTTATGCAACTTACTTTCTAGAGAAACATCCTGGAAGAGAATCTTCGGCGCTCTGACAAGGAGTTAAAGAAACTAGATGACATTGTTCAACATATTTATGAGGTAAAGGAGGAAGGGACTTGAACTAAGGGACCTGGTATAAGGCCTGGCCCCCAGGAGGTAGTGATGAATATAGCTCTGGTTCACAGATTGTGCTGAGAGCTGGGTCTGACTCACTGTTGCAGCCTCTTCTGTGGCTTCTAGTTTCTCCCTTCCAATTCAGTGGGTGCTTCCTGGGGCTGCCCCCTGGGGCTGTGACTCTGAGCTGCCTTTTCTGCCTCTCTTCCCAGACTCTGCTGTCCATCCCAGAGGTCGTGAGGGGTTGCAAGGAGCTACAGGGATTGCTGGAATTTCTGAGCTAAGAAACCAAAAGCTGGATCTGTTTTACCCCTCTTTACCTGCAGTACTCCCTTACCCCAACAGCAGGACCAATTGGCATAGAGCCAGCTAGGTTTAATGCTATTTAAATAAAATATATTTAATGTATTTCTTGAGACTCACTGACTCTTGTTTTTTGGGTGAGAGGGGATGGGATAAGGTCAGGGGAGAAGCAGCTTGGCCCTCTGTCCAGCCTGGGCACTCTCCACTCACCCCTCCCACTGCATCGAGGGCCAAAGTTGGCTGCTCTCCTCCGTTCTCTCCCTTCCCCAAATATGTTGGGCACTGGACTGCTTGTTCTCTGGCTCACAGCCTGGGGGGCGGGGTGGGGGAGGGGGAGAGACAAGGCTTCATTCTCATCCTTTCTCCAACCCCTTCAAGGGTAGGTCCTGGTAAATAAGGGAGTGAGGGCAGAGAAAGTCAATTTCTTACTCCCTGCCCTGGATTCCCACATCGTGTTTGTACCTCTGTCCTGCCTTTCCCACCTGTTGTGACTGTTTTAGGTGACTCTCCATGATACCAGGCTTAATCCCCAACATCCAGCACAGTGCCCCATCACATGGTAAAGGCAATTGTGGCAGAAATGAGGGCAAGGCCATTTCCTTCCTCTGGGGCCCTGGTGGCAGGGCTCCACGAGATGGGAGGGGGACAGTCTAAAACAGCTTCCAAGGTCCTGGCAGGGTAGTCACTCCACCTCGTTGTCCCGCCTCTGTGGGCGTGGCCTTTCCGGGGCACCAGTCCTGGGGAGGGGCGTGGCCTGGGCAGGGAGGTGACAGCTCCGCCTCCTTGGGAGTCACGTAGCTCTGCGGCATCCTCAGCCTCATTTACGGGAGCCAGGGCTGAAGCCGCAGCTCTCGCAGACCTGAAACCAGGCTGTTCTCACGTGCTGCCGCCGCTAACTTGCTGCTCACAGGTGAGGCCGGGGCAAGGCGGGGAGCTGCTCAGCATCTTTGCTTCTTCTTCCTGACTTCCTCCTGCCATCCTTGTCCTGCCCCCTGGGGTCTTTGGATGTGCCATCTCAACTCTTTCCTTATATCCTCTCCTTTCTGTTCATCCATGGTTCAGACCTCCCACAACACCCTTTCCTCTCAGCTCTCAGGCTGGGACCGCAGTTTTTCCAATTCCAAATCTTCCCCTGCCTACTGGGTTTTTTCTTGTGGGTCACCCTTTTCCATCAAGACCATTTTAAAAAAAATAAACATTAAAAAAATCCTCATCAGAGGATATTTTTTCTTGATTTTAGAGAGAAAGGGAGAGAAACATCGATGTGAAAAAGAAACACTGTTTACCTCCCAAACGCACCCCTACTGGGGATTGAACCTGCCACCTCTGTATGTGCCCTGACCCGGGATGGAACCTGCAACTTTTTGGTGTATGGGACAATGCTCCAACTAACTGAGCCACCCAGCCAGGGCCACCAAGACTATTTTAATCTCATCTGCTTCCTTTCCTCAGCCAAATTCTCTCTACAGTTCTTTTGCCTTCTCTGTTCTCCTGGTCTAGGTCCTTACCCTGACTGGTTAGCCTCACTATAACCCTACTTTCTCCTCCTTCATTTCTCTCTCTCTCTCTCTCTCTCTCTCTCTCTCTCTCTCTCAGCGTCTCTACTCATTCATTCCCCCTGCCTTTTTTTTTTTTTTAAAGGAGGGAGAAAGAAGGAAAGAAACATTGATATGTGAGAAAAACATTGATCAGTTGCTTAAGTTGGGACCTGGCCCTCAACCCAGGCATGTGCCTTGACTGGGAATCAAACCAGTGACCTTTTGGTTCACAGGCCGGAACTCAACCCACTGAGCCACAGAAGCCAGGGCTTGTTCCTTTCCATCTTGATCCTCTACTCCCATCTCTTGACTACAGAGGCATTGGGGTATGGAAAACAGAGGTTATAGAAGCCTGCCACTCCTAATCCCTACCCACCCCGCTCCTCCCAACCTTTTCTTCCACAAGCCAAGAGAAGAAGGGTGATGGGTCCTTTTGCCTCATTCTGAAAGGTTGGAAGTAAGTGCACTTTCCCTAGGGGCTCTGTTGAGGATGAGAAAAGGGCAGTTGGAAAGGTCAGGGCTTATGCCTCCCTGAAAAAGGGGCTAAATTCAATTAAAGAAGGATTAGCATCTTCATTTGGGCAGTAGTTTCCTAAGAAGACCTGTACCTTCAGAGCTGCTTACCTCCCACCCCCATGATACATCTTTCTCCAGGGCTGGGAAGGGTGCCCATCAGGACAAAAGGAGATGTGGGAACTGGGGCTCTAAGCTTGCTAGCTGTCAGAGAAATTGGTGCCACGTTGATGCCCAGGACCCATGCCAAGGACTGCTGGCCTGTTCCCAGCCCCATGCTTATTAGGGGGCAGGGAGGGCCACTTGGACCATATGGCCAAGAGAGGAATCAGAGCTAGTGGGTGGGGTGCAGCTTTTGTATCTTGTCTCCATTCCACAGAGCCATCACCATGCCCCACTCATACCCAGCCCTTTCTGCTGAGCAGAAAAAGGAGTTGTCTGACATTGCCCTCCGGATTGTGGCCCCAGGCAAAGGCATTCTGGCCGCAGATGAGTCTGTAGGTAGGTGGGGGCCTGTGGTTGGGTAGGGTAGAGGTGGCCAGGAAGCCCTGGGGATGACCCTGTCACCCTTCTTTGTTTGCCCCCCAGGCAGCATGGCCAAGCGGCTAAGCCAAATCGGGGTGGAGAACACAGAGGAGAACCGCCGTTTGTATCGCCAGGTCCTATTTAGCGCCGATGACCGTGTGAAGAAGTGCATTGGAGGTGTCATCTTCTTTCATGAGACACTTTACCAGAAAGATGATAATGGTGTCCCCTTCGTCCGTACCATCCAGGATAAGGGCATTGTCGTTGGTATCAAGGTGCAGCCCCTGGCCCTGGATGGGGGTTGAGCATGGAAATAGGTGTGTGTGTGAGGGGTGGAAGGAGAATCCTGTCTGGGTTGAGCCCTCTGCCTGTGTTTCCCCTTCAGGTTGACAAAGGTGTAGTTCCTCTAGCTGGGACTGATGGAGAAACTACCACCCAAGGTACAGGATGGGTGGGTTTCACGACCACAGTGTTGGTGGGTGGTTGATGCTGGCAAAGAGGAGCAGAGTGATGAGACTGGCACTATGCTTGCAGGGCTGGATGGGCTCTCAGAACGCTGTGCCCAGTACAAGAAGGATGGTGCCGACTTCGCCAAGTGGCGCTGTGTCCTGAAAATCAGTGAGCGCACGCCCTCAGCACTTGCCGTTCTGGAGAATGCCAATGTGCTGGCCCGCTATGCCAGCATCTGCCAGCAGGTGTGTGTATGCACATGTGAGGGGTTCAGATGGGTGCCCTGTGCCTGGTAGAGAGAACTTTCTTCCATCCTACTTACTGCCCTTGCCAAGCTACTCTTCTCCTACCTACAGAATGGCATTGTGCCTATTGTGGAACCTGAAATCCTGCCTGATGGAGACCATGACCTCAAACGTTGCCAGTATGTTACGGAGAAGGTGAGTCCACAACCCAGGCACAGACACAGACCACAGGGACAGCCTGACAGGGAGCTTGGTTGCCACAGTCTCTGGTTCAGATGCAGGCACTTTCCCCAAGCACTTTTTTACTTGATCCTAGAACAGACCTTTGAGTGTGAGCCTGTACTGACCCACGCATTCATGCCCGCCCACCCACTCCTAGACACGGAGCACAGAGCAGTAAGTGGCAGGGACCCAGACCTTAGTAAACCTCTTCTGACCCTCAGGTTCTGGCTGCTGTGTACAAGGCTCTCAGTGACCATCACGTGTACCTGGAAGGGACCCTGCTGAAACCCAATATGGTGACCCCTGGCCATGCCTGTCCCATTAAGTATAGCCCAGAGGAAGTTGCCATGGCAACTGTCACTGCCCTGCGTCGTACTGTGCCCCCAGCTGTCCCAGGTACCACCCTGCTTCCAAACCTTCTCCTATCTTTAAGGTCCATTCTCAGGTTCTTCTTGTGGCCTTCAGGGGTCCCTTATTCTGGAAAAACAGGGAGTGACTAATCAGTTTTTCTCCTCCCTAGGAGTGACCTTCCTGTCTGGGGGTCAGAGTGAAGAGGAGGCATCGCTCAACCTCAATGCTATCAACCGCTGCCCTCTTCCAAGGCCCTGGGCCCTCACCTTCTCCTATGGGCGTGCCCTGCAGGCCTCTGCACTCAATGCCTGGCGAGGGCAACGGGACAATGCTGAGGCTGCCACTGAGGAGTTCGTCAAGCGGGCTGAGGTTGGAGCTAGGGGTGGCGGTGTGTAACTAGGCAGGGGGTAGCACCCAGAGACTACAGCCTTTGGCAACTGTGGGCTGGCTTAGACTGCTTATGCTTTCCCTCCCCTCACTTTTGCAGGTGAATGGGCTTGCAGCCCAGGGCAAGTATGAAGGCAGTGGAGAAGATGGTGGAGCAGCAGCACAGTCCCTCTATATTGCCAACCATGCCTACTGAGTACTCACCCCATTCCACAGCTCTTGGCCCAGCCACCTGTATACCCAGTTTTGCCAGTAGTTACTTACAGCCAGGGCCAAATAGCCTTGCAGAGCAAAGATGTCTCCATCTAGCACTGAGTCATCTTCCTTTTTTCTCCTCCCCTTCTCTCTCCCATTGCTGCACCTGGGACCATTAGATGGGAAGGTAGGGAGCCCCTTATGGCTGAGGGCAGGAGGACTTGCTAGAAGTCGGAACAGGATGCCCGGGTTTCGCCCTGCCTTTGTCAGCCCTCACAATTTCCCCATGATGGAGTAGCTTGTCCTTGGGCTCTCCTAGCCTGCCCTTTCTCCTGGAATCAGAGGGTAGGACAGTAGACCTGACTTATACCTTGGGTACATAGCACATAGCAAATAAATGATAGCAAAATATTCTACTTTGTCTGTCTGTTTTACACATCAAATGCCCACCTCCCAGTTTCTGATCTCTGCTCACTCTGTCTTCTGGGTCCTCTGACTATGGAGGTGAAGAGGATGGGTTTTGAGTTTCACTGGGCTTTAAGTTCATGGGGGAGAGGCACCCCAGTCACCATTCCCATCTCAGGCTCTTGCCTGTTGCTACCCAAGGCCGGAGTGTGGCAGTATGAAGGTCTTTCAGGAACTGCCGCATCAGAGGCACTAGGCTGCAGCTGCCGCAGGACAGTGTGGTGCAAGACCTGAGCAATTCCTGAAGGCAGTTTTGTACAAGGCCAAAAACGGATAGGAAGGGATGGGGGTCTCTTCTCAGCTGTGTTGAGTTCTGCCAGGGCTTGACATTCTGCTAGAGGGAGACACTGCAGGAGGAGCGCCTGGATTCCTGCCCAACGAGGGAAAACCCCAAGGCTTGGGAATGCTAGACCGAGCAGAGTATCTAGGAGGTTGCCAAGGGCTGTTGCCCACTCCCATTTAGGGTGGATGGGGTTACAGAGGGGACCGTTTTAGGGCTCTGGGCAAAGGCAGTCCTGGTGAGTCCTCATGATGAACTTAGACCACTTGGCTGGGGTGTGGGGTTTAGGGTGAGCATCTGGGTTTTTCTGAGCAGATAAAAAGATGAGAAAACCTGCTGGGTGTGTTCTGTGTGAACTACAGAGACCTTGCTGTGTGTAAAGTGCACAACCAATGCTACACCAGCTAATTATTGCAATATGGGAGTGTATGCCCAGTGTGAGATGACTTTATACTAACAAAAATAGCTAGTATTTATATTGTAATTTTTTAAAAAAAGATTTTATTTATTTATTTTTAGAGGGAGGGAAAGGAAAGGAGAAAGAGAGGGAGAGATACATCAATGTGTGGTTGCCTCTCACACACCCCCTACTGGGGACCTGGCCTGCAAACCAGGCACGTGTCCTGACTGGGAATCAAACTGGCAACGCTTTGGTTCACAGGCCGGCACTCAATCCACTGAGCCACACCAGCCAGTGTTATATTGTACTTTCTTTGTGCTCCTGCCAGGCCCTGTCCTAATCATTCTATGTGTTTAACTCTTTTACTACAACTTACAACTCTATGTAAACTATTACTATCCCTATTTTAATATGAGGAAACAGGCACAGAGGGCTTAACTTCTCAAGATCACTCAGGTGAAGTGGTAAAGCCAGGATTTGAACCCAAGTGATCAGCATACAGATTTTGTGCTTGTGAATTTCAGGTATTTAGATTTTTACAATTTGGAAATGAATTAACATAAATTTAAAAGTACTGAATGAGTGCCCTGGCAGGATAGCTCAGCTGGTTAGAGTGTCCTCCTGATAAACTGAGGTCATGGGTTGGATCCTGAGTCAGGGTGCACACAAGAATCACCCAATGGCCCTGACTGGTGTTCTCAGTGGGTTGGGCGTCCTCCTGAAAACCAAAGAGTTGCCAGTTGGATTCCCGGTCAGGGCACATGCCTGGGTTGCAGGCCAGTTCCTGGTTGGGGGTGTGCGAGAGGAGGCAGATCAATGTTTCTCTTGCACATCAATGTTTCTCTCACTCTCTCACTACCTTCCTTCCCCCCTCACTAAAAATAAATAATTAATAAATCTTTTTACAAAATCAACCAATGATTGAATAGATAAGTGGAACATAGATAAATTGATGTTTCTCTTTCTCTAAAATCATTAACTAAATAAAAATTAAACTTGGCCAAGTGGCTCAGTTGGTTGAAGCAGCTCTGGTACACCAGAAGGTTGCGGGTTTGATCTCTGGTCAGGACACATACCTAGATTGCGGGTTCCATCCTGGTTGGGGCACCGTTGGGAGGCAACCAATGGATGTTTATCGTTCTCCCTCTTCTTCTAAACATCAATAAACGTATCCCCAGGTGAGGATTAAAAAAAGACAAAAACAAAAAACCCCAAACCGAATGAACCAAATAGCTAGAAAGGTACTACTAGCTCGCCACCATCGTGTATGAGGCCTGAGGATAAGGTGCCTGGAAGAAAAACTCAATGATTAGGGATGATAGGCAATAATTGTGACAGGTGACTGAATGCTTTCCAATGTGTCAGGTTCTTCACATGAATGATCTCATTTTAGTAAATATCTCCATCTTTCAGAACTGAGAAAAACTGAGACGTAGAGGTTCTCGTGGTCACCCAGATTGGTATTTAACTACTACAGGGTTTGCTGTGGACCCCGTCCAACGTTCTTCGGCTGTCTCCCGTCATCGAGACTGGAGTGTCGCTCGCGATTGGCCGCGATTGCTGCCGTGATCCCACCCCCTCGCCGTTTCCGATTGGAGGAGGCTTGCGTTGCTCCGCCTCAAGGCTAGAGTAGTCAGAACCAAGCATGGCGGCCTCTGGAACCATAGTTTCAGATCTAGGTGCGGTGGCATTCGGGTTGGGACACGAGACTGGCGGGTTGCGAGGGAAGAATGAGGGGATGGGGATCGTGGTGTGCCAGAGGTCCCGCGGACTGGGGGTCGGGGGTCGTTGCAGACAGGATTCCTTTAGGCCCAGGTCGGTCGCACGGGGATCCCTACGAGCGCTGGTGGAGAGCCTCCGCGTACCCGTTAAGGGGCTCCTCAGCTCGGGGTGGGACCGGCACCTGCGCCCACTTCCGGCGCCTTAGTCTGTACTCCCGTATCTCCAGAGGTGGTCCGAGGCAAGCGTGCCGCTCTCTTCTTCGCCGCGGTGGCCATCGTGCTAGGGCTGCCGCTCTGGTGGAAGACTACGGAGACCTACCGGGCGCCTCTGCCTTATTCCGAGATCAGTAGGCTGAATGCCCTGCAGGTGAGACCTCGATGGGCAAGGGCTAGGGAACAACCTATCCACAAGGTACGGATTCAGCTGATGGCCTTGATGTGCCTTCCCGCAGCTCCGGCTCAAGGTGCCAGTCACTGTGGTGTTTACCCGAGGGTCAGTGCCGTTGGACGATCGGGAGAAGCTGCCCTTCACCGTTGTGCATGAGAGACAGATCCCTCTGAAATGTGAGTTCCTGGCGGGGGCGGGGGGGTGCCTTTTCGGTCTGAGCTGAGTCCAGATAAGCGCTGGGTAAGAGGAGTTGAGGTGTCCCATAAAGATAGTTAAAAACTTTTGAAAAGGCCTCTGTGAATGAACAGTGTGTTTGGTTAGAAGAAAAGCAACTTTAAATTGAGCGTTCAGCGTTAAGGAGGCAATTTTATTTATAAAACAGATATGGTACCTGATCAGAATTAGTTAGTGCTTATTAGAGGATGGGGAGGAAGTGGGATGTAGTAAAAAGAGTACAGGATCTGGAATTAAGTTGAACTTGTATAGAGGCCTTGTTCGGTTTAACATTAAACACTTCACTAATTGTTAGACACTTTTCTTAGGTACCAGGAATTTGGGGATAACTGAGAAACTGATAATGGTTTCCAGAAATTCAAAGTCATGTAGGGGAGAAAGACACTTAAAGAAATCACAAAAGTTTGCAAGAAATAGAGATTGCACTTAAGAAAGCCTTTAACTCTCTGGGAGAAAAGAAAGGCAGAGAAGGTTTTGAGGGATGTAATTTTTAAGCTGGAATTTTAAAGGATGTGTAGGAAGTCAGGTTAAATGGGGGAGGTGAGAGAGGGAATAGTGTGAGCTAGTAATAATGATAGCTACTATTAGTTGTTCACTACGTGCCAAAAACTAGGTGAAGCAGTTTACATGAGTTGCCTCGTTTCATTCCCTCATAATTATGACCTCCACTTTATAAATGAAAAAAACAGATTTAGAGATTTTAATTTGTACAACATCACACAGCTAGCTAATAAGAGGTAGTACTGATTCTTAAACCCAGGCCTGCCTGATTCCAGTGTTCAAGCTTTTCACGAACAAACTGTGCTGGCTCTCTCCTGTGTAAAAGCTTGCCAGGGTAAATTAGCATATTAGGAGGGGACAGTGCATGAACAGTTTTACCTTTCCTGTGTGGAGAGAAAGATTGGGAGTAAAGGGAGAAGGAGGCTGAGTCCAGATCATGAAGTGCCTGGGTGCCACTTACTTTCTAGCTCTTTAACCTTGGTTACACTTTAAAAAAATAAAAGCAACAACCATATTTCATATGGTTCAACCTAATGTACACACACATTCTTTTTCTTTCTCAAAACAAAAATTGGATTATACCTCACATGTTAGATTGCCCCTTGATTATTGTCAATTTCTCATGGACTTCCTTATAGTTAGTGACAACAGTATTCAACAATAGTGGAGTGGCGAGGAGTATGGAATTTTGGTCTAAGAGAGCTGGACTAAAGCCTTGGTTCTGCCAATTATTTGTGTGAATTTGGGTGAGGTTGCTAACCTCTCTGAATCTTGGTTTTCTCATCTGGTGAATAGGAACAGTAATAGGGTTATTCATTTATTCAACAAATATTTATTGAGTACCTATGCCAGATAAGTTGTGGTTGCTAGGATACAACAGTGAACAAAATAGACAAAAAAGAAGAGACAAAACAAGTGAAATGTATGTTAAATGGTGATAGGACTGAAACAGAGTAGGGCAATGAAATAGGGAGGTTTTTTTGAGGGCGATGAGGAGGTCATTGCTATTTTAGATAGGGTGGCCAGGGGAGGCATCATTTGAAAACAGGATATTTGAGTAGAGACCTAAAAGATAAAAGAGATGAGGGAGTAAATTGTGTAGGTATCTGGGAGAAGAGCATTTTGGCAGGGAGTAAAGCAAGTATAAGGTTCTGAGGTAGCCGCAGGGGCAGTGCATTTCTTTGCAGAACAGTATGAATCCCGTTGTGGCTAGAGTGAGGTGAGCGAGGGACAGTGTAAAAGGAAATAGAATAAAACTGAAGTGGCCAAAGGGGGTCAGACTCACATACAGCTTTTATTCTGGATGAGAAAGAAAGCCATTGGAGGTTTTCTTTTCTTTCTTTCTTTTAAGGTTTTATTTGTTTTTAGAAAGAGAGAAAGGTAGGGAGAAAGAGAGAGAAATCGATGTGAAAAAGAAACATCCATTGGTTACCTCTTGTACACGCTCCACCTGGGGATAGAACCAGCAACCCAGGCCGGCGCCCTGACTGGGAATCAAACTGATGACCTTTCATTTTGCAGGACGATGCCCAACCAATGGAGCTGCATCGGCCAGGGACAAAATGGTGTTTTTTAAATCCTATCATTTCTTCTGCATATGTGACCTGGAATTCTATAAAAAAACTTTCCCAATAAATTTTAGGTTCTATTTGTCAAGTTCCTGGGGGTGAAAAAAATCACTTTGAGATTGCCTTACATGTATAGATTAACTTGGGGAGAATTGACATACTTAGAATATTTAATCTTTTCATTTAAGAGCCTTGTATGCATTTTCCATTTTTTTAGGTCTTTTATGTCCTTCATGAAAGTCTCAGGTTTTTTGATTATAGTTTTGTACATTCATTCCTGGCTACCTTTATGTTTTTTATTGTTGTCACAATTGGGATTTTTAAAAATACTTGCTTTTCTAATTAGATATTGCTGGCATTTATCAGAAAGTTACTGATTCTTGTGTATTCTTATATCTAGTGATCTCACTGAACTGTTACTAGTTCTTATAGTATTTCAGTTGATCCTCTTGGAATATAATTATACTGCTTCAAAAAGTGGCCATTTTGTCTCTTTCAAATATTCATGTTTTATTTCTCTTTATTATTACATTGGTCAGGAACTTCAGAAAGAACAGTGCTGAATAATAGAGAAACTAGCAGGTGTCCTGCTTTATTATTAATTTTAGTGGAACTTTATTTAGAGTTTTCCATTAAGTGCGTATTTTGTTTTTATCAGGAATGTTCATTGAATTTAATTACTTTGGGGCACTTATTAAAGTGGTCATATGGTTTTTCTCCTTTCATGTAGTCCTGTAATGAATATTGTAATAGATTACCCTGGGAGAGAGTACCTCAAGTTGAAGGTAGTGTGTACACAGGCAGATGGAAGAGGTACACTGTCATGTGTTTGATATCCATGCAGAAGTCATTAGAATTGGTCTGACACTTCCTCTTCCCATCATGCTTCTTCCATTCTCTTCAGACAAAATGAAAATTAAATGCCGTTTCCAGAAGGCCTATCGGAGGGCTTTGGACCATGAGGAAGAGGCCCTGTCATTGGGCAGTATACAAGGTACTGGAAGGGGGGATCATAGCATTTAACATGAAGCCCTGTTTTCCCATCTGATCCCTAAAGGTATCGTTTTCATACCTTGTCTTAACTCCAAAATCTCTTTGGGAAAACTGTGAATGAGATGTGTTGCAGCTTGGGCCACTGAGGGCCAAGCCTGCCCACCGTGTCAGCTTGCTGTGGGAGGTGGAGGGGTGGCTTAGGCACTCTTTGGGGGCCAGAGGGAGAGGGAATGGTGTTTTTGCTCCTGGCGCACCACCTGCTCTTGTCCCCAGAGGCAGAAGCTCTGTTAGCCGAGCCACAGGAACAAGCAGAGGGCACCCTGACTGTGTACGTGATCTCTGAACACGCCTCAGTTCTCCCCCAGGTAGGGTGAGCAGAGAGGCTCTGGCCTTGGCCTAGTCCCGTCAGCTCTTCCTCTTCCTCGTCACCTCCTTGTAGTATTGCTGCCCATTTCTTCCATTTGCTATGGAAAACTCTCCAAATATATTTTTTAAAGAATGCAAACAGGAATTTTTTTATTAACTTTGGCTTTCTAAATCCAAGACTTGTATATGGTTACAGTTCCAATGACCGTTTAACGTGGAAAAGAAATCAGTGGGAATAAAAGAAACAGGTTTCAACAGGTTGTGATGATAATATGGGCAATACGTTGAACTTTTCATGAGCAAAACACTTGATGGAACCTATACTGTGTGCCATTTTCTTAATGTATAATAAAGTACTTTTTTTAAAAAATATTTATTTATTTTTAGAGAGAGGGGAAGGGAGAGAGAAAGAGAGGAAGAGAAACATCAATTTGTGGTTGCCTCTCGGGGGCCTCCTCTGGGGACCTGGCCTGCAGCCTGGGCATGTGCTTTGCTGGGGATTGAACCAGTGACCCTTTGCTTCTCAGGCTGGCGCTCCATCCACTGAGCTACATCAGCCAGGGCTAATGAAATATTTAATTCTTATAAAAAAAGGAAAGAATTTTAATAAACATCTAAGTACCCAGCCCCAGCTTATAATATTGTAGCGATATAGTTGGAGCCCCATGTGTCTCCATGGTTACACCCCACTCCTTTCAGCCCAAGGTGACCATATTTTATAGTAATTTTCCCTTTCTTTCAAGTTTTATCATTTGTTGTATCTTTATAAACAGTATCTTTAATTTTACATATTTCTGAACTTTATATGAATGGTACAATACAGCATATGTTCTTCTGCAACTTTCAGTTTGCCCAACATTTATACTTGAGAGAGTCATCCTTGATAATGTGTAGCTGAGTCTAACACGTTCATTTTTAATTCTGTGTCATGTTTCATTGTAGTTTATCACAGTTTATCCATTCTGTTGTTGATGGGCATTTGGATTGTCTCCAATTTTTTATTACAAACGATGCTGCCGTGAAAATTCTTGTACTTGCCTCTTTGCCATGTGCCATTTACTTAGATCAGACTGTCCAGTTGTTTGTTTATTCTGCTTTTCTTGCTCAGCATGCCATCTCTTAGTTTCCAGCCTGTAAAGATTTGATACTTCCTGGAACTGTGTCTACTGGGATGGAGGAGGCAAGTGAAATGAATGAAGACACTCATATATACCCATAGCTCAGAAATGCTGAGATAACCGTTCACTATGAATCTAAGGAGAGGTGCACGCCTGTTGGTCAGTGGCAAAAGGCCACATTTCGCCGAAGCAGGAGCCAGAGTGCTCTTCTGCTTTCTTCTCTGAGCCATGGGCATTCTGTCCCTTGCTTGCCCCTCACAGGACATGCTGAGCTACATTGGGCCTAACAGGACAGCAGTCCTGAGGGGATTGATACACCGTGAGGCTTTTAACATCATTGGCCGCCGCATAATCCAAGTAGCCCAGGCCATGTCTTTGACTGAAGATGTGCTTGCTGCAGCCTTGGCCGACCACCTTCCAGAGGACAAGTGGAGCGCTGATAAGAGGCGGCCTCTCAAGTCCAGCTTGGGTAGGGTGAGCGGGCTTTACTATGGGAAGGGAGAGGGAGATGAATTGTGTGGAGGCATTGGGGCCAGGGGGAGCCTGCATGCAAACTTTTTACTTCTTCGGTGGTTTCAACTTTTTCATAAAAGTGCTCAGTGTTCCTCATCTCAGTTTTATCCTCCCATTGGTTCTATGATGGCAATCAGCCCCATTCTAGAGGAGAAGCAAGTTCAGCTCAGCCAGAGGTATGGGCTGCCCCTCATCCACAGAAGCCTCTGGATTCCCTGACTCCTGTTTCCATAGGCTATGAGATCACCTTCAGTTTACTCAACCCAGACCCCAAGTCCCATGATGTGCACTGGGACATCGAGGGAGCCGTCCGGCGGTATGTGCAGCCCTTTCTGAATGCCCTCAGTGCCGTTGGCAACTTCTCTGTGGACTCTCAGGTGAGACTTGGAGCAAGTTGAAGAGTCCTTTTCTTGGCTGCACCCTCCTTTTCAAAGTCTATCCATGTTTACAAGTGTAGCCTGTTCTTCTAGCTCTTTGGACTTTCCGATTGGCTAAGAATTTCCTTTCTGTGTGGCTCTGGCGTCTACTTCCCCTCCTTGTGTCAAGCTCGGGGAGTTTCATCAATGCTTGTTAAAAAGCTGACTTCCTAATGGCTCCCTCCAGAGCTGTATTTACCAGTCGTGCTGTCCTTAAGGGATTTACTTAAATAACAACAACAACAACAAAAAAACTTCCTGAACTACATTAATGTAGTAAAGATGTGAAGAAGTTAGCATTCTGTATAATATAATGAGAGGAGGAAGATGTGGGAGAAATTTTTATCAGGTCTTGGTAGTGGAAATAAGTACTTCTGAATAACTGACTTGATTTGATCTGAATTATATTATTCTTTGTTTCCCTCTTTGTTTAGGCTGTGAGAAAGCCTGGTAAAATATATGATTTTCAAAGAACATAGTTAGTGCTTTAACTTTACTTTTGGCTTTGTTATTTTTTCCTACACCTATTTTCTCTCAGCCCTGATTTTGTCTGTGTTTCATCCTGTCATAATTATATCATTTTAAGCCACCTCAAATCTTTTTTGGGACAAAGTGGAATATAAATCAATAAAATAACATCCTCCCTCTTTGCTCTCTAGATCCTTTACTATGCAGCGTTGGGGGTAAACCCCCGCTTTGACCCAGCTTCCTCTAGTTACTACTTGGCCGCACACAGCCTCCCCCATGTCATCAACCCGGTGGAGTCCCGCCTAGGTGAGCCCCTGAGGGCGGAGGTCTTTCTGCTAGGCCGCGGAGGGACCACCGAGCTCAGCCTGGGCTCGGAGGCAGGTTGTATATAGCGATGGTTCCCAGGTTGGGTTGGTCTGAGGATGTTGAGGCTCTGTTATCATGATACTCTGTTGATATCTCCATCCCCACACCATCATATCCAAAAGTATTTATTTTTAAAGATTTTTATTTAAAGGTTTTATTTATTTAGTTTTAGAGAGAGGGGAAGAGAGGGAGAAAGAGGGGGAGAGAAACATCAATTTGTGATGGGTTGCCTCTCACATGCACCCAGCTGGGGACTTGGCCCGCAACCCAGGCATGTGCCTTGACTGGGAATTGAACCGGTGACCTTTGGGTTTGCAAGCCTGCACTCAGTCCACTGAGCCACTCCAGGCAGGGTCAAAAGCATGTATTAAACATGTTTCCCAGCTCTTTTTATAAATGAACAGATAGGGTATCTCTCCCTCCCTGCAAACCATCTGGGAAGATGGGTCACACATGTAGGAAAGATAACAGCAAAAGTACATGAAGGCAGACTGAGGAACCTTGAAGCTAGGATTCCAGTTTTTCATTTTGGGGGTGGTACCTAGGGAAAGTGGGTGTTGCTGAGAACTGTAATACAGGAAAACCAGAATGAGTGTATCACTAGTTGCGGAATTTAAGACATCAGGGCCAGGCCGGGGTGGACCAAAGGGTGGGAGGGGCAGCATGGGAGATCTTGGCCAATTTCTCACTCTGTCTTTTCAGCAAAGTAAGAGGAACTGCTTTATAGCAGCACTGAATATAGAGATAGATTTCAGGAAAGGGAACTATGAGCTTAGATGTAGAAAAGTAAGAGCACATAGACCTTCAGGAAACTCAGAGAAGTTTAATGTGGCCGAATTACAAGAGGGTGACCAAGATAATGTTGGCAAGGCAGGCAGGCATCAGATCATAAAGGATGACACTAAGAAGCTTAACTTTAACTTGGTATGAATGGCTGGCCATTGAAGGATACTAAGCAGGGAACTGATATCAGGTCACATTTATACTGTGCATAGAATGAGTTATAGTAATATGGATGCAATGTGGCAATCGTCACGAGAGCTGACTTAGACAGTTAAGGGAGGCCTGCTGGGGGAGGGGAGGTTCTAGGGGCATTTGGGGCTAAGGACTGCACTTTTTGTATGTGGTACATCTGGGGAGAATGTTCAGAGGTTCTTTGCCACAGAAACTCAGGACTGGAGAATATCCTAGCAATTATCATTTGAGAAAATTGAAGCCCAGAGTGAGTGACCAGAACGTTAGAGGCTGACCTAGAACTGAGATCTTGCTCTAACCTGTTTTAATATTCGGACTCCCCTTCTCTTTGTACTGCAGGATCCAGCGCCGCCTCCCTCTATCCTGTGCTCAACTTTCTTCTCTATGTACCTGAGCTTGCCCACTCCCCCTTGTTCATTCAGGACAAGGATGGGGCTCCGGTGGCCACCAACGCCTTCCACAGTCCCCGCTGGGGTGGCATTATGGTAATGGTGATACTATGCAGACCTGAGAACACAAGCTTCAGGGGCAGACAGATATATTCCCTGAGACTGTTCTTCTCTTGTTCCTCTGGCGGTCTCCATGGCCCAGCCAGGGGGAGGGCAGGCACCAAGGAGGTGAAGGCACTGTGAGCTCGTGCTCATCCTCTGCCAGCCCCCACTGCTTCCTATTTTGTCAGTATTTTCTAAAATATGACCTTTTTGCGTATAGCAGTTTGTACTTGCTGAGAACTTTTCTGTGTACATCTTACATCTTGGACCTATTTGATGGAGTCGTGCAAAGTTGGGAACTTTGTCTCCTCTGTTAGACTGGGAGTGTCTCAAGAGTAGGAACTCTAAAGTGGAATAAAAATTATCTCTCTTACAGGATTTTTGAGGGGGTAATGGAGATAATTTTTGGAAAGCTCCTAATAAGTATTCAAGAGATATTAGCTATACCATCAAATTTGTAAGTTCTAAAGAGCACAGACTGTGTCTTCCCTTTTCTCTCATGGCCAGCACAGTGTCTGGGGCACAGCTGTGTATGGCCTGGTGTGATGTTGAGGCAGCCTCATTTCCCCTTGCAGGTATACAATGTGGACCCCAAAGCCTACAATGCCTCGGGGCTGCCGGTGCGAGTCGAGGTGGACATGGTGCGAGTGATGGAGGTGTTCCTGGCTCAGTTGCGGTGAGGCCCTAGGGGACCCACGTGGGGACACGGCCCCTGCCTCTGATCATAGCCTCCTGGGCTGACTGGAGTAAAATCTCACCTGGCAGGGGTACCTCGGCTGTGCCTAGAGCCCTGGGAAACCAAGAAAGGTCTCCAGGGATCACTTCATTCTTCTCTTGAGAAGAACTAGTTGCCGACGAAAACTTGTCCGAAAAATACTCATGAATTGTCAGGTCACTGGGATGTGATTAGGGGTGCTTAAGAAAATAGCTATTAATTCTTGTGCTAACTGATCTATTGATAGTGGCTGCTTGATGCCCTATGTTGAGGATTCTTTGGGCTTGTTAGGAAAGAGGATTCTGATGGACTAGCCATGCCTGCCATGGGTGCAGGATTGGAGAGGCACAGCATGTACATCTTGTCAGAGGTAGCCCTGGATCATCCCTTAACTAAGGGTTCGTGGCCCCATTTGTCCAAAGACAGGGTAGATAGGGTGGGAGGATTAAACTAAGTTGATGTTATCAGAAATACTTTAGCCATGGAACCTTTTGTCAGATAAGATCTTGCAAGTCCAATATAGAGAGAGGTAAAAGCTGAAACACAGGTAAACCAGGACTCGGGGCGCTGGATTGCTTAGTGTTGCCACTTGCCTCCCAAGACCGTGAGGCGCTTCCCTGCAACCCCTGTGGGTCTGGGTAAGGTTGAAAATCTGTCATTCCAGGAATCTCAGCCATCTTCTCCCACCTTCTAGTCTCAGCCCCTTTGACTTTCTTTGCTGTTCCTACAGGGTGCTCTTTGGGATTACTCAGTCCAAGTTGCCTCCAAAATGCCTGTTTCCAGGGCCTAAGAGTGAAGGGCTAATGACTTGGGAGGTAGATCGGCTGCTTTGGGCTCGGTCAGTGGAGAACCTGGCCACAGCCACCACCACTCTCACTTCCCTGGCCCAGCTTCTGGGCAAGATCAGCAACATTGTCATTAAGGACGATGTGGCATCTGAGGTAAGTGGGCGGGGGATGGACTCTGTGGCCCAGGATGGCAGTGGCCATGGGGGGTCAGGGTATGGGAAACTAGAGCCAGCTGGGGTCCAGGGTATGTGTGGGCATGCCAGCCTTGAATGCCTCAGGCTTCCTCTAGAGGGCAGTACCAGCCCCCAGCAGGAGTCCAGATGGAGGGGATGTAAGGTTTTAAGCAGGCACTAAGAAAGTACACCAAAGCCCTTTCATACTAGCCTCCATATAACCTGGGTGAACGCTAGGAAACCCCTCTGGTAGACGGAAGACACAGTGAAGCTTGTCATCCCCACCCCCTTCCTCAGTACCTAGGACTCACTGGTAATCCCCTGCCTGTTCCTAGGTGTATAGGGCTGTAGCCGCAGTCCAGAAGGCAGCAAAGGAGTTGGCCTCTGGGCAGCTGGCCTCTGCCTTCGTTGCCAGCCAGGAAGCTGTGACATCCTCGGAGCGTGCCTTTTTTGATCCCTCACTCCTCCACCTCCTCTATTTCCCCGATGACCAGAAGTTTGCCATTTACATCCCACTCTTCCTGCCTATGGCTGTGCCCATCGTCCTGTCTCTGGTCAAGATCTTCCTGGAGATCCGCAAGTCCTGGAAAAATCCTGAGAAGATAGACTGAGCTGGGCAGCATCTCCATAGGAAGCCTTCCTTTCTGGCCAGGGTGGGAGATGTTAGGTGGAGAGGCACACACATGGGGTCTGCCATGAATGACCTGTCTCCAGCCTCCTCTGTTGCCTCCCCAGCCACCAGAATGTAAAACTCCATTCTTCTGGCTCAGGTTTCCCACCCCCATCCTCAAAAAATGCATCATCTCAGTCTCCTTTGGCTTGAACTTGAAGGCCCTCTCCTATACCTCTGGGGCAGAGGCAGCTTGTGCTTCTGCCCTGTTATTCAGCCCTTTTGTACTGAGAGGGGATATTAGGGGAAAGCCTGGGGTGGTTTTCTGGCCCCTTCCCCTCCATGCTTCTCTCTACCCCGCAGAGAGAGCCCAGCACTGCTCTCAAGGAAGGGCCAGGCAGAAGTCTCTGGGGCCTTCTCCCTTGGTACTCGCCCCGCCGCCCCCCGCCCAGTGACACCTGTTGAGTACAGCCTGATGCTGTGTATGTGGCAGAGGTTCCCTCCACTGTTTCACAGAGACTTGGGATCAAACATGCCTGAATTTGAATCCTTGCTTCTGCACTTATCATCTCGGGAGCTCTGAATAAGCTACCTAATATCTCTGAGCCTCAGTTTTTCATTTGTTAAAAGAACACTAGTGATACCTCCCTTACAAGGTGGTTGTGAGCATTAAATGTGAAAGTGTCTGGCATATTCTAGGCTCTCAATAAACATTGACTGAATTGGAATGATGTGAAGTATGAGCATAGCTTTGGTTCATTCATATGTAAGTAATAGTCGCCTAGTATCTGTTCTCCTGGGCTCACAGACCCCCCATGCTTCCGACTGGCCATGTGACCTGCCTCCCTGTCCTGGAGGCCCCTGTGGTGGCTTAGATAACTAGGCAGTTGTCCCTTGGTGTGTCCTGATTTTCCCAACAAGGCTGTTAACATCTACTTCTGCTCTTTAGCTGGGGGTCTGAGAGAGAATGGCTTGTACCAGTATCAGACCTCAGAAACTAACTCATTTATATTAAAAAAAAAGAATATATTGCCCTGGCCAGGTAGCTCAGTTGGTTAGATCATTGGCCCCCATATACCCAGGTTGCAGGTTCATTTCCTGGTCAGGGCACATGCAAGAATCAACCCATGAATGCATAAATAAATGGAACAACAAATTGATGTTTCTTTCTCCCTCTCTCTAAAAATCAATTTAAAAAAGTATATTGAGCATAGGTATTATGCTAAGTGGTTAGTTATAGAGAACAAAGACAGGATCGCTGCTTTCCCAGAACTGTTATTTTAGGGGGGAAGAGTCAGTGAACAAATAAAACATTTCGGATAATGAACGTATTAGAAAATAAAACCAGGCCGATCAGATAGTGCTTGGCATTAGTACTTTGGATAGAGTGTGAGGGAGAGCCTTTGAGCAGAGGACATTTGAGCTGAGACCAGGACAAGAAGAGGCCACCTGAGGGAAAAGTATCTCAGGGAAAGATCCTGAGATGGCAACTCGCTTTATGGGCGAAGGGAAGGGCAGAGTGGCGGGAGCAGAGGAGAGGTAGCCAGGACCCCTTGAAAAAGTGAGTGAAAGTCCAGGGCGTGCCCCCACCTTATCCTGAGTAGCCCGGGTGGGCTGGCAGTGGGCGGGCCCAGGGGCGGGGCGGGGCGGTACCTGGGGCCCCGGCGGGGGTGGGGCTGCGGACTCCCCCTGCTTTGGCTCCAGCCCGCTCAGGCAGCCACAGCGGCAGCAGGCAAGCGGCGGCCCCACGAGGCCATGAAGGTGAAGCAGGGCGGCAGCGGGGCCGGGACGGGGGCGGAGTCCGCTCCAGGGGCCTCGGGCCCAAGCGTGGAGCCAAAGCCAGAGCCGCAGCCACAGGCGGAATCCGAGTCTGGGTCCGAGTCGGAACCGGAGGCAGGCCCAGGGCCCAGGCCGGGGCCGCTGCAGAGGAGGCAGCCGATCGGGCCGGAGGACGTGCTGGGGCTTCAGCGGATCACGGGCGGTGAGCACCGGGCGAGGGAGGGTCCCCGCCGGAGGGAGGGGGCCCTGGAGAATCCCGGCCCCCGCCCCCTTCCCCGCCCTCCGCTTGCCTCGCCTCCCCCACCGGGTAGCCCTCACCTGAGTCTCCTACCCTTTTTTCTCCAAGCTTGAGATCTCCGTGTCCCCCCTTTTCCTGATCTCCTGTGCCCCCTCCTCTCCCTTTATTATTTCCACCCCACTCCTTCCTTTCCGAGGAGTCCAGCCCCCTTTCTCGTGGTGGAGGTGGGGCAGCAGCTGCAACTGTGACTGTCCCCTTCCCCGTGAGGTTTTTAGAGCCCTCTGAGTCTTTTCTCTGCAATAATGAGGGAGGCCGAGTGCAGTCTGTTCTCAGTCCCCAGCCTGGAGGCGAGGTAGAGGCTGAGTTACTTAGGTGACAGGAAAACCCTCAGGTCTCCCTGACCATTAATGCCCTCACCTTGGATCCCCTAGGAAGTCTGGGGCCATTCCCGCTCCCCAGGAGAGGACCTGAGCAGGAATCTTCAGTGGGTTGGGTCTAGGCCCTCCTAAGGGAGTAGGTTACTGCCCTCCTTAGCCTGGACTAGGGCCAGTCCCCTTCCTGGAGGCCTAGAGGTCTCCCCTGTGATTGAGTTTCTGAGCTGCACTGCCTGGGCTGCCCCAGCTTAGCCATGTAATTGACTGTGTGACCTTGGGCAGGTAACGTCACCTCCCTGAGCATGTTCATCTGTAAAATGGGGATAATGACACGTACTTTCTAGAGCTATTGTGAAAATAAATTCTCTGATTTTTGCACAGTGCCTGGCATGCTGTGTGTGCTTGGTAAATAGGGCTCTTTTATGAGTCGTACAGAGGGCCCCGTAGGACTGCTAATGGCTGCTGCCTGGAAGCAGACAACTGGGCATTCAGAGCAGGAGAGGGGGGTCACCACAGGCAGGCAACAAGGGCTAGGCAGCCTCATGGCAGAAGTGGTGGCTGAGCCTCAAAGAACAGAAGGCATTTGGAAAGGCAGTGGCCTTCCACTTTGGCCTCATTCCTCAGTGACCCTGCCCTGGTTCCCTCTGAGCAACTTGCGGCCTCTTCGTGGAAGCGCAGGTGCTGGAGTGCACTCGAGCCCTGGAGCTGTAGGAGCAGCAGGGCCCCGGGGCTGCCAGACAGAGCTGTGGAAGGGACCATGATGGCAGGTCTAGGCCTGTACATTGGCGTCCCTAGGGGACCAGCTTCTCCTTCCTCTCTGAACCAGGCAGCAGCCATTCTTGGCTGGGCCCCCAGAATGCTGAACTGCCTTGCTCAAGTAGGCATTGGTCGTGAGAGGGGGCCCGGACCAGTCTGATGTTGGTGCCAGTTGGGATATAATTGGCAAAAGCAGCATTTGGGATTCAGGTTAGCTCTGGGGCAGAACTTCCTTATAAGATGTCTGGAGGTCAGGCTGACCTGTCCAGGTCCTAGGTAACTTTAAAGGTTATTTTGCACCTACTGGGGAGCGGGAGGGGTGTTCAGCCCACATACTACCATTTGTCTCCTGATTTGGAGGAAATTCATAGCCCTTAAGACAAGGCATCTGTGGGGGATGAGCAGAGGAAGGGGCTTCATGGGAGCTCATTCCTCTACAGAAGCTGAGAACAGGGAGCCAGGGCTTGCCATCCTGGCACCTCCTGGTCTCTTCTGACCCTAATCACATGGGTCGGAAGTTTGTTCCTACTGGATTACTGGTCCCTGAATCCAGCTTAGGAAGCTATTTGTGGCTGAGGGGATGGGAGCAGTTGTGTTCTGAGCCCTCGGCCACTCTGCCCCTTCTCTGGCCCGACCCTGGGTCCCTGGCCTCGTCCTTCCCTGGCAGAAAGGGGGGGGGTGGCTGTGGTGTCCCGAGCCATTGGCATCCCCTGTTCCTCACTTCCACTGAGGACCGAGGGGTGGATAGGTTGAGTTTGCAGTAGAAGAGACTAATGTCAGACTGCGAGAAGTTGTTCCCAAATGAGAGAAGCTCCAAAAGTTGGAGGAAGGGGGCGTTTTACATGGAGCTGAGATCCTGCTCCCAGTTTTGCTACCTCCTCTCTCTGTGCCTAGGACCTTCTTTCTACATCTTTGGACTAGTGCTTAACATTCTGTGAAAACAAGGTGTGTACAGCGTGAGATGGTGCTGCCCACTTCTATTTCCTCCTCCTGCCTTCTCCCCACCATGGGCTGTGGTGGACAGGCCAGGGCTCAGGCCCCTTCCCGGGCCCGCTGTAGTTTCTGCTGGACCCCAGCGTGCCAGGTGGCTACCAGGAGGGCTTTGTGGAGGGTGCTGCCCCAGGCTTGGGGAAGAGAGAATGACTTTACATTTACTTCCTCTTCCTGCCCCAGAGGAATAGGAGGTGGCCCAGGGGCCTGGGGTGGGGGGTAGTGATTTCCGGGCCTCTATGGGGAGGATGTGATGTTGTACAGGCTGACAGCACTGTTGTCCCTCACTGCACCTCTGCCGCTTCCTATTTGTTGCCAGGGCCCCCGGGCAACTTGCAGTTGCTGTAAGCAGTGAGGGTTGGATCAGGCCCTGGTATTCCTGGGCTTCCTCAGGCGGAGCCCACCACAGTTCCTGGTTCCATTTCTGAATACTGAGGACTCCCCTTCACCCCCACGCGCGCCCTCTGCTGCACCTGCCACACCCTCTTCCTGTCCTCCCCGCTACGCTTCTCTCTGGGAGTGGCTCAGTGCCAAGGCTGGGTAAATGACCTTTGAAGGGGTTCCCTCTGTTTGCTAAGACTTCCTCCTATTCGGAGATCAACAGGGGATGGGAGCAAAGATGGTTCCCTCCCCCCAATATTCCAGGCTCTGGATTTGAGTCAGCAGAGCTTTGGCTAAGCTGCTTAAGAGAGCTGGGCTGGTATAAGCTGCTTATGGGGATAGGAGGTGACTGGGGGTAGGGGGACAGGGTTGAGGAAGAACAGGGAAGGGGTCGTTCGTCTGCCCCAGCACTATCCAGGTCAGGGGAGGTCCTTGCCTGACCCACTGAGATGTAGCACCAGGGGCAGCTGTGTGGTGGAGGGGAGAGTATCCTCCAGAGAACCACTGTGTCTCCTCAGTCCAGGCTGTGTCACTCCTTTTAGAGTGAGGTTCCCAAAAGCAGGGCTGTATCTTCTGTATCATGCTGGGGGCTTCCTATGAGAATGGAGAGACATTTCACTCAGAGTCACCAAGCCAACCCTGGAAAAGTAGAGTCTCGAATAAGGGCCCTCAACTCCTGGGTAGGAGGGAAAATGGGGGGGAGTTGACCCATCCTCCATTCTTCTCCACCCTGCTCCTCCCTGCCCCTTAGAGGCCACTAGGTGGAGCTGTTTGTTCCCCATTAGATCCCAGTCATGGAGCTGTCTGCCCTACAATGTGGGGTTCCTCAACGGCAAGGGGCTCATTTCCCTTTACCTGGAGTCAGTGACCTTAAGGATCTGAGAAAGTAGAAGCTAGTCTGGGGTCCCAAAAAAGCTGAGCTGGCAGCAGCCACCTGTCTCCTCTAGACTACCTGTGCTCCCCGGAGGAGAATATATATAAGATCGACTTCATCAGGTTCAAGATTCGGGACATGGATTCAGGCACTGTCCTCTTTGAAATCAAGAAGCCCCCAGCTTCAGGTGAGTGACAGGTGGGCCATGGATGGAGGGAGTGGATGCGAGTGTGAAGTGGGCTCCCAGGGACTATTCAGGCAGAGGAGTCATCGCCAAGCTGAGCTTGGACCCCAATATTCCTAGGAGTCATCAGGCAGGGGGCATCTTGTGCAGAGCCTCTTGTTTTCTTTCCCATCTGCTTCTGGGATTGGACATTTTGGGACCGTTCTGTCCCTTCAGTCCCTGCCAGCTTGCCCTCTGCAGGCCTTCATGGGAACTGCAGTCCTGGAGGTCCCAGGCCTCTGTGCCTCCTTGCGGCTCTGGGAACCTCAGATGAAAATTTGGACCTGCTGACCTAGAACCCCCAGGTGGAACCATTCAGCCAAAGGTCTGATCCCTCAATGTGCATCAGAGTCTCCTGGAAGTTTTCAAAAATTCTGAGATATGGGGGCCCTCGGGGTGAAACCCTGGGAGGGCGTGGGCCCCAGTCTGAAGCCCACTGAGCCCCAGCTGGGGTGCATTACAGAGCGGTTGCCCATCAACCGGCGGGACCTGGACCCCAATGCTGGGCGCTTTGTTCGCTACCAGTTCACGCCTGCCTTTCTCCGCCTGAGGCAGGTGGGAGCCACGTGAGTCACTGGGCCGGGGGGCAAGGGCTGGGGGTGAGGGTGTGGTGGGAGTGAGCCCTTCTTGAGTTCTCACTGAGCCTCTCTTAGGGGCAATCTGCTCAACCTGGCTGGTTGACTTCAAGGCCAAGCTCAGCCCTGCCCCTTCTCTCACTCAGGGTGGAGTTCACAGTGGGAGACAAGCCAGTCAACAACTTCCGCATGATTGAAAGGCACTACTTCCGAAACCAGCTGCTCAAAAGCTTTGACTTCCACTTTGGCTTCTGCATCCCCAGCAGCAAGAACACCTGTGAGCACATCTACGACTTCCCGCCTCTGTCTGAGGAGCTGAGTGAGTGGGCCAGGCCCTCAGGCTGACCAAGCTGGGGGGGGGAGTGTGGGTCTGACCCCCTTTCTTCCCACTCTGGGTCTCTTGTGCCTGGCCAACATTCCCATGTCACCTATAGGGAAACTCAGGCTCAAAGATGATGGGGGAATTCTTTGAGGTTGTTCGGCTTGTCCCCGTCCCGCAGTCCCGAAGGCCCTGCAATGGCCTGGCTCCGTCTCCTGAGCTTTGCACCCCCTGGTTGGGCTTCTCTTGCAGTCAATGAGATGATCCGTCACCCATACGAGACACAGTCTGACAGCTTCTACTTCGTGGATGACCGGCTGGTGATGCACAACAAAGCAGATTATTCCTACAGTGGGACGCCCTGACCCTGTAGATGCTCCCTACCCCACCCAGGAAGGTCCTGGGCCCTCAGCTGTGACTTCCCCAGCACTCACCTCTCAAACCCACGTCTTCTGCCTGGGGAGTGTCCCAGGAGCCCTGGACCCTGAGTCAATGTTGGGAGGGAGGGTGCCTGATGTCCTCAGTCCAAGCCTATAAAACTTACGGGTTCTGGCATCTGGGGTGGGGCAGGGTGGTAGAGGGGCTCTTTGCCTCCATGTCCAGGAAGGCCTCCTGTGGGAACAGACAGGACTTCTGGACAGCCTAGCTGAGCCTCTTGGCTGTTTCAGAATAGTGTGCGTCAATCCCGGCTTTGACTAGGCCAGGGCAGGGACCCATTCCTTGTCTCCTGACAACCACCAACAGGCCATCTAGATTTGTTAATTCACAGATGAAGATCCACGATGGGGCCTGGCTGCCAAGCTTCCCAAGGGAGTCTGGACCCTGGCGCCAGCCCTGGCCTCCACCGTCAGGGGCCAAGATACTGCCTGAGGTGTGGGAGGGATAGGCCCAGACGGCCCACCTGTGGTAGGGGCTGGACCAACTGTATATAGTTTTCAATAAAGTCTTTCTTCTTTTCTGTTCCCTGGTTGTGGGCCAGCAAATGCTTGTTGGGGAGGGAGTGGGTGGGGAGCAGGCAGTAATATAGTCCCCAAGTCCTCTTGTGCCCTTATCCTCTTGGCACCTAGAGTCAGCATTGAGTATATGTTACAGCTGGACAGGGTTCTTCCTTTAATAAAGAAGGAGATTCAGTGTGCTGATTGCTGAGGGGGAGGGCACATAAGGGGACTTAATGGCAAAAATAAACATTAAAAAAAAAAAAGAGGAATCCCTAGCTGGTGTGACTCAGTGGATTGAGTGCTGGCCTACAAACCAAAGGGTTGCTGGTTTGATTCCCAGTCAGGGCACAAGCCTGGGTTGCCAGCCAGTCCCCAGTTGGGGGCGTGTGTGAGACAACCACACATTGGTGTTTCCCTTTCTTTCTCCCTCCTTTCCCCTCTCTCTAAAAATAAATAAATTAATTAATTAAATCTTTTTTAAAAAACAAGAGATTCAGACCCCTAGAGGGGAAGCTTTAGGCCAAAGTCATAGCCAGCCTTGACAGAACAGAGGCTGGTGAAACAAAGTCCCCCACCTTTAGGGTGGCAGGAAAGATAAGGGGCGGGGTGGTCTTGTTCTCTACCCTCCCTTCTCTGACCCCCTGAGGCCACTAGGACCACTGGGTTGTGCTTTTAGCCCTCATCAGAGAGAGGAAGGAGACAGGGCTGTGGCTAAGGCCTGGAGCCCTCTTGCTCTCTGCTGTCTTGGGGAGCCCCCTGGCCTGGTCACCCTGCATTTAACACAACACCAGCCCTACCCCAGGCCCAGAGGAAGTCTTTGTTTCCTTCAGGGGGAAAATTCAGGAGCCAGGGTAGATGGAGCGCTTATCTCAGGAATCTCACCCTGCTGCTCCAGGCACTGATTTGGATACATCTGGTGCCAGTCGTCTCTGGGCTGAGGAGTCCCATCTCAGCCCTAAGAGGCCTAGATGCACTGGCGTGTTTAGCTGGTTTCTGTGGAGCTGTTGCTGGGGGCCAGGACCTGGGCTGGACTCTGGGAATTCTAAAATGAATGAGACGGAACAAATATTTGTCCCTAGAATGAGATGGCCTAGGCATATAGGGGAGAGAGAGCCACCTGCTTGGAGGGCTCTGGGGAGGAATCTTGGACGAGGCAGCATTGGAACAGCTTAAAAACTTAGGACAACTTTGACGGGAAGAGATGGGGAGACAGCATTTAGGCATAGGGAGCAGAATAAAGCAAAGGTTTGGAGGCAAATTTTATCAGGTGTGTTCAAGAGAGTGTATAGTGTGAAAGGGAAACAGGTCTGTGGAGCTTTGTTCAGGTGTTGGAGCTTCTCCTGAGAAAAATGGGGAGTGGGGGGCACTGAGGAGGATAATGTGATCAGATTATCTCTGCTGAGTGAGGGGTGGATTGGAGAGAGTGAGGCTAATAATAACATTGAGCGCCGAGCCCAGGGCGGGGTGCTTTATATGTGTTAACAGAATGCTCACAGTAATTTCTGAGGAAGGCACCATGATGCTCATTTTGCAGAAAATCCAGGCCCAGAGTTTAATTTACCTCGCTGACGTTGCAGTTAAGAGGCAGTGTCAGGATTTGAACCCAGGCAGTCTGACTCTGAGTCCTTGCACTACAGCCCTAGAGGTGGAAGATGCACTGAGGAGCAGGAATTTGGGTGAGAGATGAAGGCAAGATGAATTAGGTCAATATCCATGGAGACGGGGAGAAAGATAGGAAGTCGAGATTTTTAAGAGGCAAAATCCCCAGGACTGGTGGTTGATTGGGTGAGGGACTTGGAGACAGGGAGGAGCCAAGTGTGAAGCCCTGGTTTTGACCTGAGGGTTAGGATGGATAAGGGGTGTTGTTACCTGGCCTGGGAACCCAGGTTAGATCATGGTGGGGGCTGGTGGGAGGTGATGAGTTCAAGTTGGAACCTGCTGTGATGTGGTCCCCATGTCCTGGGGGAGGTGATCAGGAGACAGCAAATCTGGGCACTGAGACCAGGAGGGGATAAGGGCTGGAGATGGTGATACCTGGAGGTCAGTGGTCACAGTTGACTCCTGAAGTTGTGATGGTGGCCGAAGGTTATGGCACTACTGGTGTTTGATGAGCAAGGGGCGGAAGTGCCAAGTGTCCTCTAATTAATGGGGCACTCAGTGCTAACAGTCCACACCCCCAAGTGAGGGTCACTGAATGAGAGGCGGGGAACCCCAGGGAAGGCCAGGGAGTGTTTGAGAGCTGGGCAGAGGGGGAGGAGCTAGCAGTGGAGACGGGAGGAGCAGCCAGAAAGGCAGGCACAGGAGCCTGCTTTAGAGCAGCTGGTTATGTTGAAGCAAAGGGAAGAAAGGATTTCACCAAGAAGCAGGTGGTCAGAAATTGCCACAAAAGTGATGAAGGGACATGGTAGGGGTGGGGGTGGGGGTGGGGGTCGGTTTGCAGATGAGGCTATACAAATACAGAAGTATTTGGAGTTGCAGGTGGTGTTTAGGGGGTTACACGAGAAGTTATAGTGAACAGGAGGGACTCTTGGGCCTACACGGGTGTCAGGAAGGGGACCTGGTAACAGTCCTCACTGTGCCTGCTCAGTCAAATTGGGTTGAGGGCCTGGACTGGTCCTGCTGCACTTCCACCTTCAGGCAGGGAGGGAGGTCCGTGTTCTGGGGTCCTGGCCCCTGCAGCAGGTACCATGTTGGCACTCGCCCGGAGAGGCCTGTGTCCCTTGGCTGCCTCCCCCACCGCGTCTCCTTTTACATCTTTATGTCCCTGGCGTTGGTCTGGCTACTAATGGTGCAGCTTGCTGCATTTGGTTCCTGGCACTTTCCCTAGGAACCTAGGGGATTCTTCCTCAGTAGAAAGAAGAAGAAGACACGATGGGGTGGGGCTAGTCCTGGCTGTGATTATCTTGAACTATTGAACTTTGAAAGTTGATCTGGACTGTGCTGCATCTAATTGTGCTCCGATTCTGTCTCTCTGAAATCAACCAGATATTTTTGCTTTGACTCCTCAGGGGTGTCATGAATACCCTACTACTGGGTTCAGCAGGAAAACCCAAATTCTAGAGGGAGTTCATGCCCCTCTGGGCTGACCTGCAGGGTGCACTTTGGGACTGCCACGCCCATTGTAACAGAGTGAGATGCTTCCCTTCCAGCTGGTGAAGAGCTGCTGTCTCAGGCCTCCAGGACCTTCCTCCCCAGCCCTGCCCATCTTCTAAGAGCCACCCTCCACTTCCCCACTGTCTGGTAAATAAAGCAAGGGCACTAGACTTTCTTGTGTGTCCTGGACCCGTTTGTTATTGTCTACTGAAGCACGTGGTCAATAAGGTTTTTATGTACGTAAAATATATCGTAATCCTATATTTTTATGTATTAAAAACTATATATAGACACCTCTATCTATATGTATTCTGCAATACCTAGAATGTAATATGAAAACACCTGTGATTTCTCTTCCTAATGGTGAAGTCACAGAGTCTGCCAAAGCTATTGTGATTTGTTGCTGACACTCATAATCAAGAGAAATTCTAAATTTGAGGTAGAGATGAGTAAAAATGAAGGTGTAATTTCCCTTTTTTAAAGATTTTTTAAAAAATTATTTATTTATTAATTTGAGAGAAAGAAACGTCGATTTTTTTTTTTTGTTCCAGCCATTTATGCATTGATTCTTGTATGTGCCCTAACCAGGGATCAAACCCACAACCCTGGTGTATTGGGATGACGCTCTAACCAGCTGAGCTACCCAGTCAGGGCTATGAGGGTATAATTTTCTTATCCATGTTCATCAGACTCATGAATTCTAACCAGTTTTAAAACTCTTAGGTTTACAATCCCTAAAAAAAAGGGATATTTCCCCTTAAGGGATTTCCAGACCTTGCATCCATCCCTGCTCTCCCTAAAATGGTGGTTGAACACTCGGTGTATAGTGGCCAGCAGGGGGCAGCACATGAGCGAGCATGTGGGGCTCAGTTCAGAAAGGCACCGTGGTCCAACTTCGAGTCTAAGGGCCAGTCTGGTTACAAACAAACAAAAAAAATGAGACTAAAAGTCCTACCTGCTTACGGCCTGTCTCAGCTGCATGGGGGCCAGTTAACTCTGTAGGTGTGATGAATGGGCCCATGGGACAGAGGACTGACTGAGGACCCCGGCCCTCTCCTCGCCAACTAGGCTGGAGATGCAGTAGGTCTGTCTGAGCCCCCAGGGTCTGTGAGTCTGAGGCAAGGAAGTGGGTCCTACCAAAGTTCTCCCATGAAACACTCGCCTTGTTCTTGGAGGCTTGGGCATCAAGACTCGGGCCCAGGGTTGGTCAGAACTGGGGTACAGCATCACCTGTGGGCTTGACATTGACCCTTTATCCTCTTCCTTATACAGGCAGGGCTGGGTTGGGGTGGGTGGGCCTTCCTCTTGGGTGCACCAGCTGGCCGTGCCTTCCCCCACGCCTCACCCCACCCTATCCCTCTGGGCCTAGACCCAGCCTTAGAGCCTCTGGTAGGAAGGGTACTAATGTAGGGCGGGGTTCTATTATGAGATCTTCTGCAGAACCGTCCTCTGGGGCAGGCAGGTGAAACTGGCTGGCCTCCAGGCCTGGTCCCTGGAAGAACTTTCTAAGTAGAGGCCCCACCTGTGGCTGCCGTGAGACTTCAGGCCCAAGGGTTGCTTTTGGCTCCTAAGTCTTCCCTATGCCTGTTCAGGCCGAGTGCGGGGCTGCCTCTCAGGCTGCCCTTTGGTGGTAGCAGCCTGCCTGGAGGTGGCACCTGGGAGGTGAGTCTGAAGTGGGACCGAGTAGGCCCCTGACCCTCCAGAGACCATTTTCCAGGGCCAGCAGTGCATAGCCCCAGGCCGTGCTCTATTCATGTCACCTGTGGAACCCAGAGCCCCAACCAGGGAAAGATCAGGAGTGGGAAGGCACAGCCTGGACAGGGAAGCGACCCCTTCTTGTGTGAGGAGA